CTCTGATGGCTGCGTCTGAGTATGCGCAGGCTTCTTTCTCGTCATTATTTCCTAAACGGTACATTGTAACAGCTGCTTACATAGCATTTACATTATATGAGGCATTAGAGGTCATCTAGAGATGATTTAAAGTACACAGGAGGACATGCATTCATATTACATACAAATACTCTACCATTTTCTATCAGGACTCGAGCATCCTCAGATTTTGGTGTCCCAGGAGTGGAGGCGGGCCCTGGAACCAATCCCTCATGGATACCAAGGGAGGATCGTATGCAGACGCAAGTGTGGGGTGTGGGTAACTTGGGATAGCCCACAGGTAAACATTATCACCATTTATATTCATAAAGAAACTGAGGCTCAGTGACAGTAACAAAATCGCCCAAGTTCACATAGTTGCCAAAGGGCGCGCCTACATTTGAATTCACTTGTGTCTGATTTGAAGTACATGACCCCCCCTCCTATTGTGCATCGTACATCAGAGAGAAAGAATTGTTTCTCCCCCATCCAGATGCATTTGATACCCTTCTGGCACACGGAGGGCATGGGTCTGAGTCTCGGGGGGGGGGGGTGAGTGGGTTGCAGGAATACCATAGACCAGCAAGCTCACCCAGGCTCAACTAGCAGCCAACTAGCCTGTTTGGGTTGTGAGGGGCCATGGTCAGCTAATGAGCCGGCTCCTCCCAGGACCCCTCTAATTTGCCGGAACATGTTCAGAAGCTTGCACAGAACGAATGGTGTTATGACATAAAGTAGTTCAGTACTTTTTGAAACAGCTTGAACTGAATGCCCAGTAGGTAGTTTACTACAGGCGGGGTCTCCTACATGACATGCAGTCTAACTCTGCTTGGTCTGCCACTATTCACTAGGCCTCCTGTGCGTCTGAGGATAGTAGTATTTTTGTTCTCAAAGCACCATTTTGCTGAATCCCGATGCCTTGTGCAACAGCGTGTAGTTTACATTATCCAACATGCTTTCGGTAAGACAGTGCACAAATCATTTATGTTTGGGTGGGAATAATTTGTATTCCTTCTACTAAATGAGTTCTTTTCAATTTCCCCCCTTTTTGGCTTAGGTCAATATTGAAAGTCATGGAATGTAAATTAATGGCCAAAACTCTTAAAAGGGATGCAGACTTCGTTGCTGGTATAACACCTTCCACTTCATCAGGCCTCATATGTGTCTGGTACTGTTCTAAGCACTTTGTAAAAGTTCTCTCACTTAATCCTTACAACAAAGTATGTGTGGAACGGTATTATTATTCCTCACACTTCACAGGTGAGAAAACTGGGGCACAGAGAAGTTAAGTAAATTGCCCAGAGTCACACAGGAGGAAAATAGTAGAAATAGGACCCAAGCCTGGGCAGTCTGTTTACTAAGCCTGCTGCTCTCACGATCATGGCTTCATACAACAACAAAAACCATAGAGGTGGGAACCCAGCATCGGAAATATCAGCTAAGTTACTCCGGGTTGCACAATGAATAAGATGAGCAGCTGTGGCCCGCGTGGTCTATGGGACTCTCTCAGGTTGGGCTGTTTTCCTTGCAGCTCCTGCCTCAAGAATGGACCACGTCCGTCCACGTGGTACAGGAAGACCTCCACTCCTCACAGTGTCTGCTGGTTCCCCGAGGCTGGCCCTGCCCCAGGACTACATGTTCCAGCTCCCGAGGTGAGAGGCCGGGCGCAGGCCCCACCGCGCATTAGCACTGCCCTGGAAGAAAGGCAAAGCTTTTCCTTTTGAATTCAATACTTTTTGTGTACATTTGGGATGAGATTATCCTCATTGCTCTTAACAGCTCTTTTCCACATTTTTTTCCTTGCCTACTCTCTCGCCTGTCTAAATAATTAATGATAAATTAACAGTTCAGTTCAAAAAGCACTTCTAGAAAATAACAGGCTTTTATTTCATAAAGGGTCTTGAAATGAGTGCTTTTTCCCAATTAATAATTGCAGAATAAAAACATCTCAACCTCAGGCAGCATCAGAACGACTTGTTTTTCGTGCAGATTCAGAGCCCTGGGCTCCTCAGCAGCCCCTCCACGGCTGTGTCTCTGGGCACCTGTCTCCTCTGAGCTGGAGGGGTCCTCTTATGTAAAACGAACTCTGATTAAATAAGCTACTGTCTGAAAACATCTTTGGTTCTGGAGTTGCCTAGCTCTGTTTTGACCCTGGCCCCTAGGGCTAGCTGGCCTCCCCTCACCAGGCAAACTGGTATCAGACAGAATCAAGAGGCAGCACAATAAATAGTTGATCTGAAACATGTGCTTCTAATTCAAATAAAGAGCCTTTACCCATGATGCACAGCGCACGTGATCCAAGTATTTTATGTGGAAATTTGAAGGTTTCTGATAACTTTCTGTGCAGAAGTTTTCACAGGGTCTGAACCTCTTGGGGCTCTTTCTGTCTCAAGTTCAAGTTACTTAGATAGTGATTAAAGATGTTTTATGGGCCCCCGTGGTAAATTATAGTATAGAGGGGAAAAAAAGAATTCTCTGGCTGTGTAATTTAGCAAGACTTAATCTATCTGTTTGGGTTTTCATCCTCCCGGCTCACTGAAAACGTTACATGATGAACCTGTTTCTCTGTGGCCCACCGAGGCGCCCGGGTTCCCACCGACAAGACGGTCTGACTTCAGTGATTACCCAGCTCAGCTTACCGTGTCCTGTTTACTTAGAAGCCCCTCCATCTGGTCCAGCTGCTTTTTCTTGGGATGACAGACTGGGGATCCAGCATTCTTTTACTTTGCAGCATGAACCAATGGGTCCAAATAGCAAAGGGCAATAGTTTATTTACTTTCACATTTTCCTTGTTAGGTACTCAGCAACTAGGAGACTAATGAACTTGGAAACATGTAGCCATGTCAATTAAGTCTCCAAATGCTACCCTAAACATCCCCAACATTCCTGAGGAAGGGAGCACAGGGAGACATGAAAGGACAAGATGCCATTTGTCCCCAGCCAAATGTCATGACCCAACAACAGGGTCATCAGAGGAATGCGTGAAGTTGGTTCCGTCAGCTGGGCACAGGCAGAGAACGTGGGGATTGACTGGGACGGAACATTTTTCTTCCTGAAGAAAAGCTGCAAAGCGATGCCGACCAGGCCTGGTTTCCTGGCAACACTCTGACTTTGCCTCTCCGGGAAAAGGCCCCGGTGGGAGGCCTTGCTTGCTCTCTGCCCACAGATGTGTCTGAACCCGGTCTCTACGACAAGCTTTCGTTTCCAAAGACCTCAAATCCAGGAGAACCTTTGCAGAGAACTTGCCAAGCGCCTCCCCACTGTTTTCCTCTGTGTGTCTGAATTACCCCTCCTGACATTCTGTGTGTGGGGCCCAAAGTTACTTTCTCCAGCAAATGGGTCATGCTGCTTCTTTAAAAATGAAAGTGAGAGAGAGAGAGAGGCCACACCAAATTTAGATTTGAGGCAGGGCTCCGTGACTTACAGAGGACCAAGGGTCGTTTCTAGAAGTTCGCAGCAAAGTTTATTTAGACACACAGGCACGCACACACACACACACACACACACACACACACACACACACGCACACATACAAGGGCTTGCAGAACATTCAGAACAGAAGAATCGATGCTTGTCGTCAGGGGAGCTAACAGCCTGCTTTAAACGGAGATTTTGGTTTCTAATCTTTCAAATAGGTGCATCCCAGAGAACCTACTTTGCACAAATCCTGGCCAACTCAGAAGGAATGGAATACAAATATCTCCAGAAAGGATCTAGATTTCTCGGTAGATGTTTATACAATTGAATAAGTGGATGCAGTTGGCCTCCCTGGGGGTGGGAAACACAGTCCCAGCAGAGTTCTGCTTTGTAGCCTGAGTCTCGGTGGATTTCAGGTCCCTAACCCCAGTGGCAGTCTCATTAAAACACCGAGTGTCACTCTGGGAAAGGGAAGGAAGGAGCTAACTGGCAGCAGGCCAGGCAGTCCTTTTATCAAGGTCACTCAGCTGGTGGTGCCTGAGAGGGATTTCCAGGCCGAAGTAATTCTTTTGTGTTTGACAGTAATAGTGGCATTTCCTCAACTTCCCAGAAACGATGTGGTTTCCACAGAGACCCCGTCCATCAAGTGTCAGGTACAAGTTGGCCCTAACGTGAACGGCGTCTTTTCCTCGCCGGCCTTTGCTCCCGGAGGAATCGCCTTTAGGTACCTCCCTCACCGTGTCAGGAAGAAACTGCATTCACGTTCGGGCCTGCAGAGGAAGTCTGGAGCTACACAGTCTCAGGGTGCACCCCATTCTCCTCCTTTTCCAGCCTCCCCTGGAAGGCACGTCCTCATTCCCAGTCTTACAGGAGTCCCATAGAAGCTGCAACTACCAAGGGTGAAGTTCAAAAGGATGGATGCAGGGAGTAAAGGGCATGTACCACTAAGTCAGCCTTTCTGAAAGGTCACATCCAGAGCTCTCTGCTGACACCTCTCGGGCCACAGCCGTGTCACGGAAACACGAAACACGCCTGACCCCACTGCCGCAAGGAAGACTGAAAAGCAGAGTTGACTTTTTTCAACCTGGGCACATTGCAGTCCCAATTGGGACGCTGTTAGAAAGACACAGAGAATGAGATATTTGATGGCCTGAAAATTAAAAATACGCCCCCCACTGTTCTGCCACAAGGGTTAAGGGTATCTGTGCAAAGACCTCACAGAGCTCGATGATTAGGTTGGTGGTCTGTGAAAACAGGACTTCCTTCTCCCTCCCTGTGCTCCCTCCTGTGGCCTGTGGACACGATGCAGCACAGAGTGAAGACAGTGCCTTGGTGCCAGAGTTGGTTGGCCATCTAAGTTCGCTGAATAATTTCATCTTCAGGGAGAAATCAAGAAGAAAACAGTCGACCTACTTCTTTCTCATCACCGACACAACATCTGAAGCTAGAAAGGCCATTCTGCACAGCGCCTTCTTGCAGTGCTGACAGAGCACTTAATTGCAACTCAGATACAGCTGTTCGGTAAGCTGTCCCCACCCCAGGAGGGCGGCTGTAGTTCTGCCTGCGTTCTCATTCTGCGGGAAAAGGGTGTCATCGCTGTGTGTGGCACCACTGCCCACCCCAGTGGCAGAGCTCACACCACCTGGAACGCAGGCACATGTGCACACTTTCTGTGTTATTTTGGGGATCTTTATTATCGAGTAAGTCTTTGGGGTGTCAAAGCATGTTATAAACTCTAAACAGAAAATCAGAGGTAAATGATACATGGGAATGCCAAGTGTACATTCTATTCTGGGTAAGAGAATTTGATGACGGAATGTATTTATTGAACATTGATGTCTCTATTGCGATGCTCACACAGCAAGGTCTCAGGCAGACAGAGTGCAGGAAGCAAAGGAAAGCGAAGCAACACTCGAAGATGGTAGTAGGCAAACAAGTGCATCATTTGTCTCTCCCACATTAAGCTTCAAGACAGTTTTGCAACTTGTGGCCTGAACAAGTCTCTCATCCATGAAAAAACAGAAATAAAAAAGTTGCACGTGTTCAGTTACAAAGTAACTTTGTTGTTCACAGGCAAAAGAAAGAATGAGGGGAGGGAAGGGAGAAAAAGAGGAAAGAGGAAGGAAAAAGAGAAAAAAGAAGAAAAACACTTTATATACCTGTGTATTTTACTACTATTGGTCATCTTGGAGTATGTAATTTAGTTCAATGTACTTGTGTGCTTTAATTTAAACAGACAGAGAGGAAGATTTCAAAAAGCCAGAACTATGTGTGTTTATGTATTTAAATAAAATAAATAAAAATCTATGCCATATATTGATTGCCAACTCAACAACAATTGTAAAAAATACAGATGATTCTGAATGTAGCTAATAACTCCAATTTATAAAGCAAAGTGACTGCATCTGTATTTAAAGTAGTCATGATTAGCATTTTCTAACATAAAAATAAAATACAGAGATGTACCCCATGTCTTCAAATTTAAGCAATTTGATAACCCTCAGCTTCTCCATTTAATAATGTGCATTAACTTCCTTTAATTATATTTTACAAAATCTTCAATTTAAATGATTGTTCTAAATTCCATAGAAAAATGTCTTAAAAGCCACAGTTCAAGGTATTTATGTTTTGCAAAGTGACCAAGACAGACAGCATCACACCTGCTTCAAAGCGCAGATAAATGCCTTTCCCCTTGCCTCCCCCGACCCGCTGAGAAAACAAAGGTTCCATCCCTCACGGAGCCAGTCCAAGCTGCTGCACTTCAGGACACTGTAGGTCTTCTCCCTGAGGAGTCCCAGGATGTCCATGGCCGCTGTCCGCTCCCTCCCCCATCTCCACGATCCTGTTCCCTCACCTTGTCCTTGGGGAAGGTGGGAGGTGGGCATAAAATGCCTGCTTGTCAGAAAACCTACCAAGGTCAGGGTGGCCTTATTCCTGCCCTTCCTGGTTGGAGTTGACCAAGGCACCTGAGAGAAATACTGCTCTAAATAATAACACCACCTTTTCTTCTGCCTCCTGGGCTAGAGGAAAAATGGCTCCTAGCACTCACTGACCATTACCTGAGCAAGTGGCTGGGGACAAGCCATCTGAATTGGTGGCACTGTCTGTTTCTCACAGTCACTAACTCTTCTTGCTGATGCCAAGAGACAGTGAGGGCACACAGAGGGACTCAGATGGAAAAACTGCTGTCACGCTTCAATTTCTCAACACCGCCACCTACTAAATGCGTGCTTTGCATATCCTGGTTAGATGATATGATTTCTTTATAGGAAGCCACTCTTTACAGTACCAATTCTGATACATTAAAATTATCGATGCTGATTGCCTATTCTATTTTTTATGTATTCTAGCATTCTACCTTTCTTCCCCATTATTGAATATTATTACACCTGCAATTTAAGGTGCAAGTCTATGGAATAATAAAAGGAGGTGAAATTCGTATGAGTCAGACTCTCATGAATTGTACTAGTCACGTCCCTAATGCAAAATTTGCTAGCAAAAAAAAAGAAAGAGTAAGTGATAGGTCTATGTAATTTTTAGATTATCTTTCATCAAGTTTTACCTGTTCTTCTGACTCCCCATCAGCATCAAACAGAACTGTAACATTCCTTTATAGCCCTTTTTATAACTAAAACTTGCCTTAAGGTAATTACTAGATAGTAAAACAATTAAGTGCAATTACAGTGTGAGACTACATTTGGGATTCTACAGAGATTCTGTTTAAAGTCAGGAGAGCTTTCTGATAAGGTGCTTCCTTACACTCATCGATGGCACAGGCGGTGGTCTCCTCTGGGCCTTCACAGCTGTTGACAATGGCCACTGCACTGAATGACCTTCTTCTGACCTTGGGTTCTGACACGCCGCCCGATCCTCGGACTGGGGGTGCCTTTTCCACGTTGTGGAGCTGCTGGTCTTTCCAGTCCAGTTGCTTGGCGCTGCAAAAGGGCGCATAGACCTCAACGCTGCCCTCAAACTGTAAGCAGTTCACTTTGTAGTACTTCCTCTTCACTTCCAAGACGTCGTTGAACCTGTGGCCCCAGAGAATTTCCCGGGGCACGTAGGAACTCCTGGACTGGTGGGAAGTCCCCGTGGAGTCCCCAGTATAGATGAATGTCACCAAAATCTCGAAGTTATCTCTGGCCACTGCTTTCCGGTCAAGGGCATACAGAGGGCTCTCGTGGTCAATTTCATGGACAATAGTCACGGGCGTGACGAGGATGATCTGGTCGTTGACCAGCTTCAGGTCCTTGAACGCCATGGTCATGCGCCCTTCGCTGTCTTCCGAGTAGCGGAGGAGCTGGGCGCGAACGGTGCCCTCGACCACGTGGTTGGGTCGGAAGTCCCCCACGCGCCACATGAGGCAGAGCTTCCCGTCCCTCATGCCCACGAGCGCGAAGTAGCTGAAGCGGATGGTCTGGGCGCGCTTGCGCGCCGTTGCCATCTTGGCCAGCGCGGCCCCGATGATGAAGGTGTTGATGATGCAGCCGAGGATGGACTGCAGGATCACCACGAGCACCGCCACCGAGCACTCCTCCGTGACGCAGCGGCTGCCGTAGCCGATGGTGGTCTGGGTCTCCAGGGAGAACAGGAAGGCCCCGGTGAAGGAGTGGACGTTGTCCACGCAAGGCGTGATGTCCGGATCGTTCAACAGGTCCCCGTGATGAAAGGCTATGAGCCAAAAGATCGAGCCAAAGATCAACCAGGAGAGAATGTAGGACAAAGAGAATATCACGAACATGTGGCGCCACTTGATGTCCACGAGGGTGGTGAAAATGTCGACCACGTAGCTCCCCCACTCTCCGAAAATGTGCTTGAAGTACACGTTGCAGCTGCCGTCCTTGTGCAGCAGGCGTCTGCGGGCCCGCCGCTTCTCCGCCACGAGGTGCTCGGGGGCGAACCCTGGGTACTTGGGGTCCACGTTCACGATCGGGTAGCTGCTGCCGTAGTAGCTCATTCTTTCCTGCGCCCTGCGGGCGTCCAGCTGACTCCGGTAACCGAAATAGGTCTCTGCGCCTTGCTTTCTGTGGGTTTGGGTTTCCAGTTAAAACCTGAAAGAAAAAAAAAAAAGAAAATTAAACTCACTTTAACTCTAGCTTTCATTTCCATCTTAATAGCAATTGGCCGATTGCGAAGCAGTTTTATGCCATTTGAAATAGCTGACTTCATCGGAACGACAGAGGCTCTCGGTATTGATTACTCATTTCAGTTTAGGGTTCAACGCAGTCATTATGGGAACAAAGTATGAATTAGGAAAAATAACATTTTTATAAATGCATGAAGCTTGAGTAAACACTATGATTATCCCAAATGAAGCATCACTACTGTTTCTGAACTGATCCCCCAAAAATTACCTTTTTTTTTTTTGTAAACTCTTCTGGCATGAGGGCATTTATAAAAAACATCTATAATATAAAAAGGCAGAATAGAATTCAGATATTTATCTAGCAGTCTTATAACCTTTCTAGCTGTTTAAATAAAATGATTTTCCTTAAAAGAAGGCGGCATGGCAGAGTTTCTATCTTCACGTGAAAATGTAACTTACTGGTTGCTATCACGTAATCCCTCACCTTCCGCACCTGTCCCTTCCTCTCTCCTCCACAGAGGCGGTTCTTCCTTGTGTACTTCCCAGGACCGAGCCGAGCCGATTGGAACACTATTTCAGATTCAACTCCTTTACCCCAGCTCTACCTTTAGTCTTGAGAGCAAAAAAATATCTTTCTTAACCCCAGAGGAGTTAAAACCACTCCCAGTTAGGCTGTCAGTAAGGTATAAAATTGCTTGTGCCTTTGTCTCGTAACATCCATCTTTTCTTTCTTTTCTCTCTTTTTTTTTTTTTTGGCACTGGAAGCTCTTCTCTGTCCTTCTGAATAGAAGCCCCACACTTTGCCAAAGTTGCTAATCTTATTGCCCTCTTAAAGGGAGCAGACTTCCAATGGACCCCTCCCTCCTGCTTCTCAGTTCTGTCCCTGATGTCTCCACGGCCATCCCAAGGCAGAGCCATCTTTGCCCCTCCAAATTCAGTCTTTAAAAAATTAAGGTAGAACATACAGTTCTTAATGCCTTTAGCATTTCATGGTCTAGGCTCAAGTCTGAAAGCAAGTTTTAAAAAATCAAGGTTAAGCGATCTTTAGTTACTTCTATGCAAAATTAAGAATTCCCTGCAGCCCCGTATTAATGGTTTAGTAATTATTCGAGTGTGTTTTCCACACGGTCTACCCGTGCTGGGTGAGGGGAGGGAGTATAAGAAGAAGGTGCCACCTCAGAGGATCTGCGACTCTGCGGCACTGAACAATGAAGTCCGAGTAATTACTATTCCTGACATTGAGACCCCCCCCACTTGAAACCAACCAAGGAAATTGATCACTGAATACTTATCCAGCCTGCCTTCTAGCTGCAAAAGAGAGGAAATAGTTAATTTCCCTCCAGTCAGAGGCATCGTCTTTCCTCCTCTCCCGGGATCAGGCCCACGTTACAATAAACACTTTGTCTGGTGGACCACTGTGAGGATGGACACTCGGCCAGAAAATCCCACAGGGCACGCAGGAGTTTCTCTCCGTCCAGTCCCTGCCGGGGCCGTGTCGCCCACCCTCCTCCAGGTCTGCTTTCGAGTAGCTGCCCTCTCCTTTGTCAGCCTTCCATCGTGTTTTGGGGTGACAATCGTATAAATTCAGGGCATGACCCAAGGCTGAGAAAATGCTTACTGGAATGTAGAATAGCAGATATTTCCACTACGTTTGTCCACAACATATATCATTCCTTGCAGGCTCCAGGCTGACTTCCCAGTCTCCCCTCTCTCACCTGGTCATTGGGGGCAGGAGAATGGAGCCAATTATAATCAAAGACCCATATGATTTGAACCTCAGAAGGGTATTTGGAGATAGGATTGTTTTCTTACTGAACGCTCCAACCCGGTTCCTTAAAGGGACCGGCACTGACCGTGGGAGTGCGAGGACGAGAAAAGCACAGTTCATAAATCAAGAGCTACTGTGTGACTGGGATCTTTTCTGCTGCCAACAGAAAAATGATTTTTATTTGAAATGGCACTTGGTTGGCATCATTTTCAATTCCAGTGGTGCCAACAACTTTTTTAAATAAGCCAGTTTAAACACACCTGCATTAGTGTGCTAATTGGCAAATGAATCTGAAGATTAAGACAAGCAACAAGTGAGCGAATTTGAGGATGTGGAAAGTTTCTGAATCACGTAGCAATTTCAAGGATACAAGTTCGGCTGTGAGAAGCCTGCCCCAAACGCAACACATCCTCCGCTGCGGTTCATCCCTGGGGTCGCTCCTTTCCACTTTCCAGAGAGAAGTTTTGAGATTTTGGTTAGGTGCATGCACTTTATTTACCTATTCTTAGATTTTCCAACCATATAAAGGATGCATTTTCTAAAAGGCTGCCGTTTTTAAGCTAAATGATAGATTAAAAGCAAATCATTTTCATCAGTCTTAACCATTTTTCAGGCTGCCTAAAGAGAGAAGTTGTTTCTGGAGACCCTTTTTGCCAAAATAGCCAGACAAAATGAGTATGTATTGATCTGTTTCATGTATCACATCAATTAGAACAGTGTCCCAATTGTTTACCATTAAATAATAGAAGATAAGACTTGTTGATTGGCTGGCAGTCTATGATGTTTGTGTTGCTCAGGATTAAAACTGGCTTTCAAAGTTCCTTAAAGCTTCCATAACCACCTTGTCACCATCCATTGCATCATGGAAAAGCACTCGGGACATTCTCGCTGCTCAATTTCTTTTTTGCATTTTGTGCTCACTGCTCTCCAGAAACAGAGGGTGGCCATTGCATTGGTTGTAAAATTCTTTTTTTTAAAAAATGGAAGTTTGATCACTGTGATTTCCAAATTGTGGAGTATAAAGTTCAAAAGTAAGTGCTAAATCAGGTAAGGTCCCCCTTCTGCAGCAAGTTCAAACTGTTTTTCCAGGTGATTAATGTCAAAGGTAGAAAAAGGACTGCAATTTCTTGGCCGTGACATGGAGTTCTTTTCTCAGTGTGGCCAGGGCAAGAGACAGAGCGCAGTCGGGAGGCTGGGGGTTCCTGGGAAGGCTACGGAAGCTCACGATAACTTGCAAAGACAGGACAGCGCTTTGGCAAGATGACCTCATTCACTGCTGCCCACAGGGACAGAGGAACTGGGACTGTGGAGCTCCTCTTGACAGTGACTTTCCTCAGAAGTTCTTCCTTCTATTAAGCTCAAACATTTAAAAATTTTCCCTTAATATACTTTCACTAGTGAGATTGGAAATTTGTCCTCAGTTTCCTAGATCTTTGTATGACTTCAAGGAGAAGCCTTTATTGATTCAGTATATTTCGAATATGCTATACACGCAACAGGGAACATTTTCACCAAAACGATAAGTAACGCCCTGTGGATCTGCCTCCAACTCTCAATGCGCAAAAGTACCTCTGCTGGACTCGCCAGTTTCGAAGCAACGTCTCTGCCCATGTGCCCCAGCTTCTCAAATTCAGCTATTTACCAAGCAGACTACTCGTGTGGATAATTCCTCAAGCTTAAGCTTTTCATTAGCATGCTGAGGGCACAACACAAAGGTTAAGACTTTATAATCCTGTCACTTTGATAATAAAATTTGATCTTGTCTCTAGACCTGCTTAATATAAATACCATCATAGTAACCACCAATAATGGCCTCAAGTATCTTTGGTAAATTCATTTTATGAATGCCAACAGCCTTCCAGATTAAGCAGTATCTTTTTTATAATGCAAAAGACTTATGTGAAGTCATCACTGGTAATCAAGTTACTTGCCTGCCCACTATTAGGTCAGATAAATTGTAGGGGGAACTTGAGAGTTGATGGGGTAGAGAGCAGAAAAGATGGCCTAAATTCCATGTGCAGGTCACTGTCCTTGAGAACAGGCTGGGTGAAGCATTTTGGTACGTGGGGAGGGGCACCCGACGGTCAAAGGGGAGGTGTGGTCAGGAGGCACATAGGGGTGGGCTCTGGTTGCTGAGCAGGGATGAAAGGGGGTGTTAATGAGATGCAACAGAATCCAAGCAAGTTAGGTTATTTTGTGCAAAACTGGTCCTACTGCTTGTTGCCTTGGAATTACTCCTGAGCCTTCTCTCACCTGGAATCCTCCTGAGACCTTCAGACACACTTAGGTAGAGCCTGACACTCAGCCAAGAACACCCGCTTCATCCCGTGCTGCTGTCCAGCCTTCTCCAAGTACTCTCAGTCTCCCGCAACGCGCGCAGTCTCTCCTTGGTTGACGAACATGTGGAGTTCTCATGCGTCCTTTTCAGCTGTCAACCCCAGAGCAGGCTTGGATTTTACTGGTGACTATGAATTTTACCTTTTTCCCGATACTACCTGATCATTTCTCCTTCTCAGTCAACTTCAGAACGTTTCATTCCACTTAATGATAAGGAGGGACGTGTAATACGTTATGAGCGAACAACTGGACTGGCAGCTGGTGCTGGGGAGGAGACGCAGAGGCCCCGAGTTTGTAGGAACTTTATCTGGAGGCCCTTTCAGGAGCCAGCTGCTCCTGAAGTAACAGCTCCATCCCAGTCGTGGACCCTGCCTCACCCCAAATGATGATGCTGTGTTATAAAGGAGGAGAGATGTGGAGGTTGGGTTGATGGTTTTTCATTTTCCGGATGTCGACATAGTACCAAAGTAACGTGAGTTATGACACTAAATTATTCTTGCTCAGACATTAAATTACCTTTATAAGAAATAGTCTGAAATGAAATTACTTTTTTTGTTTTGGTTTGTACAGAACCCAAGCGTTGGAAAGCAGACCCCAGGTCCGGGTGGGTCCTCACGCTCCCGAGCAGCTGTGTCAGGTGGCTCGTCCCTGCACCTCAGTGTCTTCCTCCAGGAAATGGGGATGACACCTGCATCGCCGAGGTGCTGGGGGGCTGAACGAGAGAACCAGTGGGAAGCCAGCTCTCGATGTGCTGAGCGTGTAGCCATCACTCAGTAACTATTCCTCAGAGGTGAGCCCCATGAGGACTCAGTTTCCCCCTCTGTAAAATATCACGGCATCTATTTAAACCTTCTCCAAGA